CTCAGGAAAGATGCCTCTTGCCCTTTGTGTGTGGCGGGTTCCCCATCTTCCTAGAGGTGGAATGCTGGATACTTCCCATCTGTCTTGTAGTGCAGCTACTGGTGCTTGGCCACCAGCGCCTCCCAGCACTGCTAGTGACAAAGCAACCCCTTGTGATAGTTGTCAGAATAAACATGGGCCTGTGTGTGGTCTCACTGCTGGGTCAAAGGAGAGATCCTGGCAGGTCCCAACTGAAATCACTGCCTGGAGGGTTTTAGTAAGTATGAAAACAGTGAAGGCACTCTCCCAGAAACCTTGTCCAAGTCAAGGAATCCCCAGGAAACAATGCCCGCTTTCAGGACCCTGGAAGTTTGAGTGGGCTCCCCAGTGGTAACTAGAGCCACAGAGCCAGTCTCCAGCCTGAGAGTGTCCCTCACCCCTGAGAAAGCTCCCTAGTGGTAGGGAGATGGGAAGGCATTCTCCCTGGGCTCTGGTGCCAAGTCTGGCCCCGCTGTATGATAACACTTACAGGGCAACCTGCCTGCAGTCTGCAAGCATTTTCCAGCCACCTTCCCTGTGTCGTGGGTGCTCTGGGGCCAGCAGAAGAGCTTGGTTATTTCACAGTAATAACTACTACACAGACATTGATTACACAGGTTCAGTCTCGTCATAGTGTCAAAAAAAATGTGTGTTTCCTTTCTCCACTCTAATGCAAAGGTACTGATTGACTGATGTCTCTCCAAAAGGGACTCTAGAAGGAATCTGGCCTTCATCTCCCTTGGGTTGGCTGATCACCCTGCCGTGTTATATTACTTAAGAGAAACGATGAGCTTAGAAATCAGCACTGTTCAGTCATTCCCAGCAGCCATCAGAGTTGTTGAGGACCTCACCAAGTGCCCACACACTAGAACCAGTTCCTCATCTATAAAGTGTGTCTGCGTTGCCAAGACCTTGAGCTCATGAGTGAGCTTGATGATTCTGCTTTGAGCACATCAACACACCTGCTAAAGAGACAACCAGAAGGGAATGGATGCTAAAAACTCCTCTTTAGAGCTCCTCTTTTGAGCACTGGTGTCTTCCTGTTCCTGCTTGTTTCTTTTCCTAGTTATCAGCCAGTGGACAAACAGAGCTGCCTTTGAGTCTAAGGAGCTACACTATCTTCTACTGCTTCTCACCCTGTATTCCCCAGTTCCCTTTTGGAGTGAAGAAAGGGAGACACACAGATACAAAGATGCCTTTGTATGTCAGTGTAGATCAGATAAGAAAAGAAACAATGGTCTGCAGATCTGTTTAGTTTGCCCCAGGGTTGTTGCTGTAAAGTGCCTTCAAGTCCTTCTGACCCACAGTGACCCTGTATAGAGTTTCCAAGGAGTGGCTAGTGAGTTTGAACTACTGACCTTATGTAACAGCCCAGTGCTTACCCTACAGAACCTCTCCAGGACTCTTGTTGTTTAAGTGCTGTCAAGTGGATTCTGACTCATAGTGACCCTGTATAGCAGGAGTGGGGAACCTTTTCTCTGCCAAAATTTATAACATCATTCTTGAATCATACAAAATTATCAACTTAAAAATTAGCCTGTGATAGGGTTTCCAAGGAGCAGCTAGTCGGTTTGAACCGCTGATCTTACAGTTAGCAGTCCAGTGCTTATCCTACAGCGCCACACCACGACTCTGTTGATTGCCCCTTTTGTTGTTGTCATCAAGTGAGTTCAGATTCATAGCAATCCTGTATAGCAGGGGCGGGGAACCTTTTCTCTGCCCAAATTTATAGCATCATCCATGGGCCATACAAAATTATCAACTTAAAAATTAGGCCTCAAGGTCAGTTTGAACCACCAGATCGGTGGTTCAAACTCACCAGACATTCCTTAGAAACCCTATACATGGGTTCGAACCGACTCAACGGCACTTAACAACAGCATATTTGGTCAAACATTTAATTAACTCACCCCTAATGTGATGGAGTCCTGGTGTGGCACTGTGGGTTAATGCGCTAGACTGCAAAGTTGGTTTGAACTGCAAGGTTGGTGGTTCAAACTCACCAGTTGCTCCTTGGAAACCCTCTACAGGGTCGCTATGGGTCGGAACAGACTCAACGGCACTTAACAACAACAACAATGTGATGGAGCCCTGGTGTGGTGCTGTGGTTTAACACGCTAACTGCAAAGTCAGTTTGAACTACAAGGTTAATTTGAACTACAAGGTTGGCAGTTCAAGCTCACCAGCCGCTACTCAGAAACCTTATACAGGGTCGCTATAGTCGGAAGAGAATCAACAGCATATAACAATAACAAATGTGATGGTTGGAAATGCAGGGCCAGACCAAATTATTTCATAGGCCTTATAAAGCCCGTGGTCTGGGCATTCCCCACATTCCCTACCCCTGTTCTATGGGGTTTCCAAGGAGCAGTTTGTGGGTTTGAACTTCTGACCTTGCAGTTAGAAGTCCAGTGTTTATCCTACAGCGTTGCAATCCTAGTATTTAAAAATATAATTAAAAGAAAAAAAAAATTGCCATAGAGTCAATTCTTACTCATAGTGACCTTCTAGACCATGTAGGACAGAGAAGAAACGCCCTATAGAATTTCTATAGCTGTAAATCTTTACAGAATTAGAAGGCCTGCCACATTCTGCAGAGTCCTGGGAAGTTCTCACTTTGGGTTAGCAGCTGAGCACTTAACACTGTGCCAACGGGGCTTTTTAAATCACAATTGTTGTAAGTGCTGTAGAGTAGGTTCAGACTCACAGGACCCTGTGTAGAGTTCTGAGAAATGGGTTTAAACTGCCGACCTTGCAGTTAGCAGTCCAGTAATTTTTCTACAGTGCCATACCAGGACACATAAAAATTATATCTCTGACTTCTCTTTAAAAAAACAACAAAAACAGATTATATAGGAATTCTGAGTCATCTCAGAGCTGAGGAAAAGGTACACCCTTCCCCCCTCATTAGATACAGAGTCCTGATGTGGTGCTGTAGGATAAGCACTGGACTGCTAACTGCAAGGTCAGCAGTTCAAACCCACCAGTCCTTCCTTAGGAGCTCTATACAGGGTCGCTGAGTCAAAACTGACTTGATGGCACTTAGCAAGCAACAAGAATAGCAACAACATTAGATTCAGCTAGCACTCTGCAGTTTGCTACAGTCCATATTGTGTTACTCAGCCAGGGTCACTCACTATGTGGCCTGCCTCACCCCTGCAGACATCTGACTTTTTGATCCCAAACAGGAGTCTCTGAACTTGGTCCTGGAACACCAGGAAGCATGCACATAAAAAATCTGGAGTGTACCTCATCTTCAGCACTTTTTAAAATTATTTCTGATTGTTGAGAATATACTTAGCAAAAACATACCCCAATTTGTTTCTACATGAACATTTCAGTGACATTGATTACATTCTTCAAACTGTGCAACCAATCTCCCCCTCCTTTTCTAAATTGTTCCTCCTCCATTAATTTAAATTCACAAACCCCTAAAGTGTCTAGCTGAGTTTCCAAGCGGCTGCTGTCAGTTTCATCCCATATACTCAAACCAAGTGGGAGAAAGAGGAGGCTTTCTGCCCCTGTAAAGAATTTATAGCCTCAGAGACCCCATACAAGGTTGCTATGAGTCGGAATTGACTCACCGGCACATGACCACCAGCCGCTACTCAAACTAAACCCACTACCATGAAGTCAATTCCAACTCACAGCGACCTGGTATAGAATTCCTGAGGCTGTAAACCTTAATGGGAACAGAAAGCCCCAGCTTTCTCCCATGGAGCAGCGGGTGTGTTTGAACTGTCCACCTTGTGATTAGCAGTCCAGCGCTTATCCTACAATACCACCAGGGTTCCTTGATCCCATACATCATACAAGAGCTTAATCTCAAGGCAGACATTTTTTTACTAGTTAAGCTAAACAATTGTTTGTTTTTAAGAAGTCTTCAGGGGATTTTTTTGTTTAAATTTTAAAAGTTATCTCCACGCAGTAGTTTTCAGGATTCATACAGCCTCCAGTACTTCAGAAAGTCTGGAACCTGTGCAAATTTGAAATTCTATTCTTTATTTTCCTACTTTTCATTAGGATTTGTATATAGAATCTTTGATCAAAATGTTCAGTGGTGGTAGCCAGGCATCATCCAATTCTGGTCTCATAACAAAAGGAGACGTTGTTACGGTAGTCAGTTAACCACACATTCCACATCCTCCCCTATTCCTGACTCTCCTTCTTCCTATATTGTTCTACTAGGCAAATAGAGACCAATTGTTGTGCCTTGAATAACCCTTGTAAGGTTTTAATACCTCAAGCATTGAACTAGGAGGTAGAACAGATGCACTAAACATGTTATTAGGACAGGTATATGGGTATTCCATGAAACTATAACCCAAAACTTCCAAATCAACAAATCAAATTCCATGAGGTGTTTGGTTGCACATAAGCAGCCAAACTGCTTTTTGTCTTTGTTGTAAATATATCTGTCACACAACTCTTGCCAATTCAACTTATTACAGGCATACAACTTATTAATGGCAATTACATGAATCAGCTATGCAACCCTACCCTTAAACCCAAAGTTAGCACTCCATAAACAATACCCTCTCTCTCACTTCACCTGAGCACTTTTTTTTTTTTTACTTTTTATTGTGAATTGGGTGACTTAAACAGACACTTCAGCCTTACTTTCAACCAATCATACCTTGTTTCATCTCAAGGAGTACACTCCCCTCCCTGTAACAACAGGGATCCTGCTTCCACCCAGTGGCTTCCCTTTTCTTATTTTTCACAAATGAACAAAGCAAAAATATTTCACATACACATACACAACAATATATATATATATACATTTAAATGTCCAAAGAGCACATTTTGCAAGCCAGCAAGCCAGCCTCCTACCCACAGGCACACAGCACAGCCTTTCTCAGTCCATGCGCCTAGAGTCCTCAGCTGCTCTCTTTTCACCTGAACACTTCTTAATAGAGAATTACTTCAATAAGACCTGTGAGAACAGGAAGCCTGAAACCATCTCATTTTCTGTGTTCCAGTGGTCAAACACCAGCAACATCAGAGCTGAACTTTCTAAGGAAAGCACAGACATTGGAGACATATGGAGTGGACCCCCATCCGTGTAAGGTAAACTCGTGTGGTTGGAGATTGCACTGATCTTGCTCCTCAAGAGGGCTACAGCAGCAAAGGACCACATGCCTGTGCTCCTTAGGCCCCCTTCACAGTCTGAATGATTGGCTTTTGCAGTGTTAAACATTTGAGAAAATGTATCATTCTGAGAACTTCTCTGGATTCCATGCTGCTAATTTTTGTGATGTCATATCAATGTTAAAGATTCAAGACAAAGTTCATCTTAAATAACAAATCTGAAACTGGGGCCCTACTTTGGCAGTAGTGGGTAATTTGGTGAAAATGAAGAAAAGAGGAATGTGGAAGGCCCCCAATAGAGAACTAGGGGAGGCAGCTCAGCCAACTGCCCACCCTTCCCTGACCCATAATCTACTTCCTTCCCAAGAGTAGGTTTTATTGACTGCAGTAGCATAAGTCACTGCGCAGAACAGCAGCGGAGTCACATTTAATTCCATTATGTGCCTGTGAGGGGGAGATGGGAAGCAGCCGGGGAGGCTCTGCCCAAAGAAAAACCTCTGTAATTACTCACATGTGTCTGGCATTTTGGAGATGAGCTCAGGCAGATGCAGTCCTGCTAGGAGCAATGGAGGCCCCTGGCCTCTTTCTGTTCTTCTGAGGCATGTCCCTCCTCTTCGTCTCCACAACCCTGCTGCTTGAACATTCCTGGTCTCTGCCTCAGTTTCTCCACCATTTTGTCCCTTACTCTTTCCACTACTGGAGATGCCCCTGTACCACCAGAAAATACAGATTCTCAAATTGATCTGAAGGAAGACAGTATGAGATGGGAGCAGATCAGCCTTAGGTAAGGGGACACCTTAGTTTCAAGCAGAAATGAAAAGGATAGAATAGAACCCAAGGAACCCAGCAATGTGAAGACAGAGTAGTGTTTTCGTTGATTCTTTAGTGAGATAATGTTGATTTGTTCTTGCCTGGAATTTAAGGCTAGGACTTTTCTAAAGGTTTAAAGAGAACACTCTGATGCTCAGAAATCCTGGTCACCTTCCCTGCCCCACAGTTCCCTATTCAGCAACACAGCTGACTGCCATATAATCCCTGTGTTCTTGGGGGACCAGCAGTCAAAAAACTCATTCATGCCTAACTGTACCAAAAAATTTACACAGAATATTCACAAATGAATTGGCAAGGCTTCCTAAATAATACCCTCTAAATAATGCAAAACAGATGTCATTTAAACCCTTCCATAAAGTGTTCAGCTACTGTCAGCAGGGGACCCGCACAGCAATGAAGAGAGCTTCGCAGTCAGCTGGCGCTGGTTGCCTGTGTCCTGGGACTGTTGGAGGCTTCTCTGTGCCTCACTGTCTTCATCTATGAAAGTGCTCAGTAACTGTGCTCCCTAAATGACCAAGTCACTCCAGGGTCTTAAAAGACATAACTGCCTGACGACAGGTAAGTCGTCAGAAAGTCACCTCTGGGTTTGACCCCTAAATCTATGCAGTCTCCTTGAAGCCATATACAGAACCCACAGAGATGGGATGTCACCTGACAGCAGAGGTGGGTGGTGATTCAATGCTGTCACCCATGGGTGTCTGGAAGATCTAGTGACAGCCAGCCTATGTCCACCCCAACCCCACATGCATCACAGGACCATCTTTATGAGTCAGTCTGTCGTCAGTTACAGAGATGCTGAGGAAGTTGTGGGAAGGAATTGGGCACCATGAATATACCAGACACCTTGCAAGGCCCAATCTCATCAATCATATCCTTTGCTACCTATCCTTTAATCTCCACGGTAACAACTCCTAGAAGGAAGCAGGAAGGCAAAGATGAAGGAACATTTGTGGCACAGCCTTCATGGCAGGTCCAGTAGAGTGCTTTTTTATTCTATTCTCATCAGCCGTGGGAGGTAGATAGTATTCTCCCTGTTTTATAGATAAGAAGACAAAAATCCCAGGAGGCTATAATTCATGAAGCCCTAGGTGGTAAAGCAAGAATCTGAACCCAGGTCAAGTTTCCACATTCCTATGAACCACATATGGAACAGAAGCCCCTAGGAGACTTACTCTGGGGAGAGGTGGTCATCTCATTGGGCTTCATGCCTTTTGCCTCTTGCTCACCCACAGCCGTATCAGGACCCTGCTGCAGACCCTACACAAGACCTCTCAGCTCATCTCTCAGGCTCCAGCTCACAATTTTCTCAGCCCTTCCAAGCAAAGAGAACAGTTTGGGAGCCTTTACTCTTGTTATTAAGTAGAGTCACCAAGCACTTGCCTTAATGTTGCTACAAGGAGAACTGAAATAAGCTGGAGCACTAAGTGTAATAAATACTGATGATTTCTATTAACAGAGAGGCAATTACTGGGCCCAGGGAATCTGGGGCATGCAGCCCTAGGGAGGGCAGAAGAAGAGGAATCATTTTGATAATTAAATGAGAGAGAACAATGCTTTGGCTGGGCTCTGTTCTTCTGGACTGAGAAGCTACTGCTCTTCCTGTGCACACTGTGGGTTTCTTTCTGCCCAGAACGTCCTTGTCTGGCCCTGGGACCAGGGCAAGCAGATCCTACGGACCCTTGATGGGCCCACTGCCGGACTCCGTTAGCCAGCTGGCTTGCAATAATGCCCAAATCCTGAGCTTGCACAAGGCTTTCTGTGCTGCTTCTTCCCTGCTCCCAGCCCCTGGGGGAGCCCTGCAAAAATAGCCTGGGGGCATCTGACCTCTTCTAAGTTCATGAGGGAGAAGAATCACCCTCCAAACTTTTTACCAACTCTGACAGGAGCTGTCTTTCCCATGGCACTCTCTACTTCTCTACTGGGTTTGAGCATTCATTGCAGCGGTCACACAGAATTCCCAAACCGCAGTTACAGGGTTGTTGTTGTTTTTTTACAGAAGTACTAAATTACAATTTGGGATTAGGCTCAGGAAGCATGTAGGTAGTGTCCCTTCTTCAGTGCACACCAGCTTTCTCAGCTCCTCTCAGCACCCTCAGGACAGGCCTCCCCTCTCAGCCCTTGGCCCTTGACCCTGCTTGGGACTGACCTCTGCCTTGCTCAGTCAAGTGTCAGGAAGCACTTCAGCTCTGCCAGTAAATGCCCAGAGGCACCACATTCCACCGGAAAGCCTCCTACCTGAACTCACTCTGTGGGTTGGCACATCCACTATAACTGCCTTGCTCCATCTCTTGCCTGTCTCTTGGTTCTGCTACTGCTGTTTCTCTGATGCTGCTTCTCACCGTCTCACACTGTTTCCGGTGTTATAGCGTTCTCACATACTCTCTCGCTTTCTCTTTCTCTTTCCCCGTGGGTCTTGGAGGATCTCAATGCAGGGACACTGGCTCTTATTTCCTAATGGTAGTGAGGGCCCCCCTTTCTGCCTCTGGGATGGCTCATTTTAAGAATAGTGGGATGGCAAAACAGACAAATCCCTCTGTTAGGATTCTATATACCATATTTGTAAGGTTCCACCCCATCTTATTTGCATTATTAATAAGCTGTCTAATCCCCTTGGTGGGCCACAAGCACCTTATTTGCATAATACCACCCAATCATTCTTTAGGAGACACAAGAACATGCACAATTAAAAGGGCCATATTAACTGATTCATTGGACTACAAGCTGCAGCCAACCAAGCCTACAGTAGCTGGAAAAGGAAATGGGAGCAAACAGCTAGCAACCCACTGTAGCACCGTCACGTCCCTAGCCCTGACACCTCCCCAATCTCAGGAGCCACAATTTGTTTCATCTAGGTAGCCCTGAGACTGGGCATTTGTCCTGAGTCTCCCACAGGCCTGGACTGTGACCACACACAGTCCTCCCCTGTGCGTAACTGACAGGGTTACCCTCTTAGGGTTCATGGAAGAGTTCCGCCTGTCACAGGTACCCAGCCTGGCCTCAGCCTTATTATGATGAGTCACGAAGGTGCCACGTATTGAGAGCTAGCTCAGAAGTGCGAGGTCAATCTTTACAACACTGCCAAGAAGATATTCTTGTCCCCAGTCAAACAGAAAAATGCTGAGCCTTTAAGACACTAGCTAACATATGCAAGGATACTGGTGGTAAGGAGGGTCCTGGGACCATGACCCAGAGTTGTCTGGTTCTCAGCACTGTGTTCTTGGCTGTTTTGATACAAGGTCTCTCTTCTAGAAAGATGATCTTTATTTAGGAACAAATAGGAGTCCCTGCTAGTTCTCATACAGAGAGGAGAAAAAGCTTAGAAGATTACTAAAATCATTATATAAAAATTTTAAATAGGCTCATCAGTGCCTTTGTTCTATAATACAGATCTGGAGAAAATTGATTTTAGAGGATCTAGGCTAGATCCGTCATAGAAATAAAATATGTTTACTCCTCTGTCCTTAAAGTAAGATGACTCCTTTAATATTCTAGCCACCAAGCCTCCTCTCTAGATAAGTTCCCCTCCCATCTCAACAGGTAGCCCTTGACCTCAGAGAAACAGAATGAGAAGAGTCATTGAAGGCTCTCCTTCATCCTCAGGTGCGCCCATTGACTGTGCTACGGAAAGGATGTAGATTTACAGCTGACATGAAGCACTGGACCAAAGCCACTCAGATGGCATGTTCCTGCCAAGAATCCCATTTCTGAGCTGTCTTTGCCCCCAAGTCTCTTATAGGGAGTCCGTCCTCATTTCCATCACAGCTTATTATGACGAGTTTAAGTACACTGAAGCTAGATGGTTTTCATGATTTGATATTAATGTAAAGTTTTCCAACTGTGAGCACTTTCAGGGGTGGGCATAATTGTCTGGGAGAACAGGGAATCATCTTTCCTAAGGCTTTTTAAGAAAAAATAGAGACTCATCTACCCAGATTGTTATTGTTGTTGTTAAGTGCCGTCAAGTCGGTTCTGACTCATACCGACCCTGTATAGGGTTTCCAAGGCGTAGCTGGTGAGTTTGAACAGCCGACCTTTTGATTTAAACTGATCTTGTAGTCCAGTGCTTATCCTACAGCACCACATGTAAATTCTGACCCAAAGAGGGGACTGAATGACGTGTGAGGCCCAACAGCCAACAATACTGTGGT